GCTGATTTACTAGTAGTCTCGACGCAATACTTAATGCGAAAAACTTTGCATTATACTTTATTGTGTTTTCTCATTCAACTAGGCTTCCGGACATGTCCCGAGGTATAACTCGCCAATATTGGAGTTTGGTTCTTAAGCAGATCAGGCTGATATTATTGGTAATATTCACGAGCCCAGTGGGAAATTCTATCGGGCTGTTAGGCCTTAGGAGAAGTGAGTAAATAGGAAGAAAAATTATAATATAGTTTGCATCTAAAAATAAAGGCAGTATCACTCTCCTTAAGCACGTCTTACCTTCCAAATGGTCAATGAAAGTCTGCAAATAACAGCATTGACACAATTGTTCACGACCCAGTTCCCACTCTTTTTTGCCGCCATCAGGACTATAAATCTCTTCTAATTCTTCACTATCTGCCTCTTCCTCAGGATTCTCTTGATGCAGCTCAGGCATCAAGTTTGCCTGCTCAAAGGGCAAGTCTGAGTCAAATTCACATAGTTTTTTTAACAGGTCATCCTCGCCATTACCATTTTTCTCTCCTACTTCCATAGTGCCTGGTTCTATGATAGTCGAAGTGGCTCTGATTGTCATCGGCTGCTCTGTATCTCCTTCAGTGAAAGTAGTGTCTAACGGGGATGTTTGTGGCCAGGAGACTGAATCAAGGGCATGTGTTTGTGGCTCGATATAAACCAAAGAAGTCCTAACAGTTTCAAGTGTATTTTCCAGCAGTCCTTGCTGTTTGTCTTGTTTGACAGGCCGGGGTGGGATTAATTGTGATTTGGGGTATTCGGCAAGAGGGCTAATGGATTGTAGTTCGTGATGGAGGTCAAGATTTTCATGAGTATTTTCGCTGTCAAATGAATTACAGCCACTGGGGGATGCAGGAGGGCTGATGTTTATTGTATACTGAAGATGGGTTGGAGGCATAAAAACGGTCAAAATAAAAAAAATATTTAGCAAATAGACAGAATAAAACCGTTGAATCCCTGTGAGGTAAAAAATTCAAATATGAAGTTTTATGGGCTAAATCAGCAACAACTGTCCATTAAGTAACCCAAAAACACTGGGTTTCGAAGAAATTCTTGCCTGTATAGAGTAAAAAACCTACTGTTACCACTTTGTGGTGCTCACAATAAGAAAGGACTCCTTTTAAACTCTCTTTAACTTGTAACAAATATTTCGAGTATTAGTATCTCTACGTCTTGTGCCAAGGCAAATTATAAACTTTAGCTACAAAAGTCGTGATAAAAAGCAGATAACTCAAACCAGGCATTATTTTCAAAAGTCCCTCTGTCATCATTAGAAAAGACAAGGACTGATAGGCATTCTGTAGAATGTGTCGTTTTAACGCATGGCGAAATGGAATTTCGACCTCGCCTTCCTAAATCCGAAAGGTGGATGCGAAAGTGTCTAGGCAACCGCGATGCTCAAGACTGTAAGCAACCCTATCAAAAAAGTTCTTATGCGACTTATCTATTGTAGCTTAGGAAGATTTAAGGATTGTTAGTTGGGTCTTTCCCACGATGAGATAAGTATATCTCATCATGCCAAGTGAACTTCAGAGGCATCATGGGGCCTACTCATTTCGTTCGGGGATAGCTAAACTTTAAGTCCTTAAAATAACCTTAAACGACCTAGGCTATGTAATTTCTTATTAAATAATTATTGATAGTCTCTAAACCTACTTATTTTAAAAATAAGTAACATCGTCGATTACAGTGTCAAACATGTTTGCTTAATCGACAATCACAGCATAAAACGTGTTCGGAGAGGCCTGGCTTGCGTTGAGTGTCGTATCTGTCTTGTGACTCACTGTAACCCGTGACAATGTATTAGAGTGGTAAAAGTTACAATAGCTACAATAGTCATTACCTCGTATTGAAACCACCTAGGAGTAATGTCGCCATGCTCGATGAGGTTAGGTGAAATTCAATGAAATAATGAGGCCTACTCATCTCATTATACGACAAAATTAACTACCAGTCCTTAAAGCAACCTATGCCATCTAGGGTGAATCGTTTGTTAATACAGTAAATTTAAGCGCTTAATCTGACCTCCTTTTCAATTCGCCATGAGTCCATGTAACACAACCTGACAAGCAATATATTTTGATATTAACTGTTATTGGTTTAACAAGTTGAAAGAAACCCTATTTCGTTTAAGATAACGAAAGATTGGTAGTAGAATTTTCCCACAATGATATGAGTAGAGCTGACATTTTCATTAAATTTCACATAGCCTTGCTTTCCCAAAAGTTGTTTTCATCCAATGGGACTTTGGTTTCGACCTCACATAGGTCTAATAAACATCCTCAGCGGGAGTCGAACCGTGACAGTGTGCAATTTTCGACTCTTGCTGGGGATGTTGATAAGACTTATGTGAAGCCAAAACTGCAGTCCACCCTGGATGAAAACAACTTTTGGGAAAGCAAGGCTATGTGAAATTCAATGAAAATTTCAGCTCTACTCATATCATTGTGGGAAAATTCAACTACTAATCTTTCGTCATCTTAAACGAAATAGTGTGAATACATCTCATATTACGAATTTACTGGTAGACTCAAAACTCTACTTACATACGAAAAATAAGCTAAAAGCAATTATCGAAGATATGAAGACCAAGATAATGTGGCCATTTGTATGGTCGCTGTCTCAATTCGCTATATAGAAGTTGTCTGACCTTGTTTTCACAACTTGGTCATATTGGTAGGAAGACTTAGAGGAACTCACCTAGTCCGGAGTCCGGCATGATGATTCCCAAAGTCAGACCGTGGATGTAGTACATTCTTCGGCATCGTAGTCGGCATCGTCAGTGAGTCTTGTCATTCTTAAAACCACACAACAACTCGTTAAAGAAACAAGTGAATCCGATCCCTTGACGGTCAGACTTTGGAAATGATCATGCATACAAAGGACTCCGGAATAGTTTCGTCCCTCTAAGTCTTCCTATCAATATGACCAAGCTGCGAAAACAAGGTCAAACAACTTCTAAAAGCAATTATATTAT